CCCGTGGGGGATATATAAATCCCCCGCGGAATTTGCAATTGCGATGTGCTACATTAGCATCCCTTTTCCGGAAGGGATGCCAGTGTACACACAGCCAGTGGCTATGTCTACACTCATGGCTTCTTGCGCGAGAAATATGCAAATGAGGCTAAGCATGGAATATTGCTGAGCCTCATTTGCATACCTAATGAGCCACCATTTTGCAGAAGAGGCTTTTGTGCCAGAAGGAGCTGTCTACACTGCCCTTTCTTGTGTAAGAAAAACCCTCTTACGCAATGCCACTACGCCAATTATTTTCAGGAATAACGGCATTGCGCAAGAGGGTTTTTCTTGCACAAGAAGGGGCAGTGTAAACAGCTCCTTCTGGCACAAGAGCCTCTTCTACAAAAATGGCAGCTTATTAGGTATGCAAATGAGGCTCGGCAACATTCCACACTTAGCCTCATTTGCATATTTCTCGCGCAAGAGTATAGACATAGCCTTAGTGGTCAGTTAGACAAAGATCCCTTTTGTGGTGAAATATGATTGCTCCAAGGTGTACTCTGATGGAGCTCATGGAGAGGCCCAATTTCTTTAATTCTAACATATAATTCAGAACCAGTGGTAAAGGAGAGGAAATCACTGTGATTTGTCTATTTTAGCATCATGTATCAAATCTCTTTAGTTTGTATAGGTGTAAATGTCACATAGATGATATTTAGACTGTTTAAAAGAACATTCCGTACCTCTTATGAAATGGTCATTTTGCTGTCTTGGCATAGTCATGCCTTGAGATGGCGTCTTCCCAGGTTTGGGTGGTGGACTTGGCCTACATCCTGAAACAGGAAATGAGGTGTAAATGGAAGAGTACATGGTGGGCAAACAGCCCTCTTTTGGAGGTAAGGAAAATACATTTGTCTGGGCCATGTGGAGACTATCAGGATGGTTTGAATATGCTCCATTGTACTCTGGTATTTATTTCTCACCCAGGGTCTGGGGAAATTTTCTGCTCAGTGCCTCTGCAGTGGTGTTTTGGCATCCTGGCAGATAGGATGCTGAGATGTCATCATTGTGGCTGATGCAGCAATTCAGTAGTAGTGTAGCTTCTGGGCCTAGGGAATGTAACTTCTTACTCACCCCGAACAAGAAATGTGAAAAACTTTAAGGCCTTTTCCTTGATCACGGGTAGAAAATGTGAGCATTCATTACAAACTGCGTGCAATTCCAGCAGTGTTATCAACAGAAAGTTTTGTGGAAAGGGGGCTCCTAAGCTAATATTGTTTGGCTACATCCACCAATGTTGAAAGAAGGTTTGTTTGTTTGTTTTTCCTTTGGGTGGCATTATGATACATTTCTTTATGCTGTGTCTGTGTGGACTATGCACTGTGTCTGTAGCTGACCTTGCAGACATTACATGTGCAGTCTGGCATATTTGACAATAAATATTGTTGCTTCACATAGCCTATGGAGGCAGGCCCTGGCCAGTGTCCTGGGACTAGCTTGTATCATAGTGATTAGATTCACGAGAGTGATAAATTGGTGTTTGGGCAGTTTGGCTGTAGTCTCCAGAGAGTTCAGGCAGGCCCCGATAAACACTAATTTTTCACAGTTATGGGTGTTGATATCTGGTTGTTTGTAGGTCTAGACATGTAAAGAGAGCTGCTGTATTTTGGGTAACTTCTAAAGCCTCCTCTCGAGTCAATAATTTGAGTAAACATCCCCCAAATACAGGAATATTATGACTCCTTGTCTGCGGAGGTGAGTAACCTCCTTTTGAAAATACCTGTGGGTCAGTGGATATTCCTCAAAGGAGTGGAAATGGTCTGTTCCCAGAACAAACCTGAGAAACCTCCTGTGTAATGCAAATATTCTTGTGTAAAAATGTACATCCTGGTGGTTGAGGGCCAAGAATTAGTCCCCTCTTTCCAGTGCTGAAATTATGGCTGCTAACATGACCATCCCTAATCATTGTGTCTTCATGAATTTGTTAAGTCTTCTTCTTAACTTGAGAATGGTCCTCCATCCTCCTTTTTTTTCTGAGTTATAAAATAATGGAAATAAAACTCCTTCCCTCTGTGTTGTGTTGGTACTAATTCTACTGTTACTAGATTTGTGAGATGGTTTACCTCCTGTCACAATAGATGTTCATGAGAGGGGTCCCTGAAGCTGGATGGAGAGAGAGGATGGAGTATGGGGGGGAGGTAAATTAGATGGGTTGTGGCAGTGTGAGCACTTTTGTGGAATGTGCCTCTCACCAAGGCAGTGTACGTATGAATGCCCACAAAATAATGGGCTAGACGGTCTTCCCATGAGGCAACATTTAAAACCCAATGAGCTGGCATGCCCCTGAGAAGTGTTTTCAAATGTGAGGGAAGCTAACTGCTATACTAATGGTTATCCTAACACTGAAACAATTTCCTAATATAAGGTGGAAAAACAGTGTTTTTTTCTTTTTCAGAAAATAAACAATGGTAAGTAACAATTTAACTAGCAACTAGGGTAGTAGATGGTTAGTTAGCATTTAAGTTAGAATTAAAGAAAACTACAGTACAAAAACACTTCTAAGTGCTCCATCTCAAGGAGAAATTGCTAGGGCGTCAGTTGCAAGCGGCTATGTAACTGCCAGCGGCAGTGCAAGAGAGGATCGTGCATGTGCTACTCAACCAGACACTGTTACTAAAAATTTCTGATTACAATTGCAGGGGGGGAGCAGATTGATCTACAGCGGAGCACTCAGTGGAACACTCCTCTAAGCAGAATTTACGATTCCAAAGAAAATTTTCCGAATACCTGACAATGAACATATTCCAGAGTTTGCAAACAGACAAGCTGGAACAACATCTCAAAGAGGATTTCCTTCATTCTCTTTAGCAGGGTGTTAAGTCTATCATTCTAAAAAGCAATGCTTGCTAACTACTGCATTTCTGAATATGAAGAGACAGAAGGTTTCAAATGTTTGTAAGGCAGTTCCTATGTTATTAGATTTAGATTCTTGTTTACCACCTTACCTCTCAATCAAGACTATATGATATTCTCTTCCAACACAGTATAAAATGGAAGAGCACAGGAGAGGGGAAGATCCCCTACATACCCCTGGCTTGGGTATGTAGTGTTCCCCACAATTCCCTGTCTTCATTGACTAGTACAGAGAGTCCTCTCCCTTTTGTTGTAATCTAATAACTATTCCCATTCACCAAAAATACAATCATAATAACATCCCACTGCCAATTACAGAAATTGCTTGCAAGGGAAGTAACATTGGAAGAATCATTTGATGTATTTTTAGCTGCCTTCAATGCAATTTAGTAGCTGCAAACAAAGAAGGAAAGCCAACAGCATGTGACCAGCTAAGCTTTCCAAAGAGCACTGTTTCTGTGCTACCGTATCAGAACTAAAAAATATATTCACCCATTGTGCTTGGATAAAGAGGCAGAGTTCTCAAAGTGGAGCAGAATTCAAATGAAACAAAAGAGAATGAATGTCAAGAAGCCATGATACAGGACTATGTAGCACTTTAAAGACTAACAAGATGGCTTATTAGATGATGAGCTTTCGTGGGCCAGACCCACTTCCTCAGATCAAATAGTGGAAGAAAATAGTCACAACCATATATACCAAAGGATACAATTAAAAAAAGTGAACACATATGAAAAGGACAAATCACATTTCAGAACAGAAGGGGGATGCGGGGGGAGGGGGGAAAGGAAGGTAAATGTCTGTGAGCTAATGATATTATAGGTGGGGAAAGGTAAAAGTCTGTGAGCTAATGGTATTAGAGGTGATAATTGGGGAAGCTATCTTTGTAATGGGTAAGATAGTTATTGTCTTTGTTGAGACCGACATGTAGAGTGTCGAATTTTAGCATGAATGACAATTCAGAGGAGTCCCTTTCAAGTGCACTGTATTTTGTTTCAGCTACACCAGACTAACACGGCTACATTTCTATCACTATTCAAGAAGCTATGAGGGTACGTTTATAGGTGATAGACTTGCAGGAGACTCAGAGGGGTGCTAAGAAGAGTGAAAGGAACAGAGAAAAGTGAAGACAGGGGAAATACAAGGGGAGAAAGGGAAGTGGTGAAAACAGAATCTCAGCAATTGTGGGGTGGGATAGTTTGTTGGAGTTGGAAATATTTTCCATCTCTTGTTCCACAAGCTGGACCAGAAGTGATAATTGACCTACTCACCACCCTCTTTTTTAATCTCTCCTCATATGGAAACGGTTTCATTTTTGTTGCCCATCTCTGTACCTTTTCCAATTATATTATGTTATTTGAGACCAGGCACCAGAACTCTACACAGATTTGAAGCATGGGCATGCCATGGACTTATATAGAGGTATTATAATATTTACTATCTTATTATCCATCCCTTTCCTAATGGTTCAGAATATTCTGTTTGTTTCTTTGATTACTGGTGCACATGAACAGATGTTGTTAGAGAACTAACCACAATGTCTCCAAGATCTTTTTCTTGTGTGGTAACAGCTAATTAAAGCCCATCATTTTGTATGTATAGTTGAGATTACGTTTTCAAATGTACATTACTTTGCATCAACACTGAACTTCATTTGTCATTTTGTCGCACAATCATGCAGATACCATAGATAATAGTTCTTCAATTCCATATTTGAGTTCTTCCAGAACTCTTCAGTGAATACTGTCTGATCCTGGTGACTTATTACTATTTATCAATTAATTCAAAATTTTTCTCAATTGATACCTGAATCTGGATCAGTTCATTAGATCAATCACCTTGGCTTAGGTGTAGGAATCTCATCTCCTCTGCAGTGAAGACTGACAAGAATTCTCTGCATTGACTTTATCTTCTTTGTTTGTGCCTTTAGTACCCCAAGCATCTTGTGGTCACACTGATTATTTGTCAGACTTACTGCTTCTGATGTACTTTTTTTTAAAAAAAGGTTTTGGTTAGGTGCTCTTCAAATTTTTTTTTTTTTTTTGCCTGCCTATTTGTACTTTTACTTGTACTTGACTTGCTAGTGTTTATGCTGCTGTCTATTTTCCTCAGAAGGGTTTTTAAAGGATACCTTTTTACAATGATCCACATCTTTTACCTCATTGTCTAGACATGGTGGCACTTGTTTGGTCCTCTTGCTATATCTTTTAATTTGCATTATACATTACATTTGAGCCTCTATTATGGTGTTTTTAAAAAGTTTCCATGAAGGTTGCCGGCAATTGACTTGTGATTGTACCTTTTAATTTCCATTTAACAAGCTTCCTTGTTTTTGTATATTTCCCTCTTCTGAAGTTAAATGACTGTGGTGGGCTTCTTTGGTATTCACACGGGTGATATAATTACATTATATTAGGACTGCTATTACAAAGCTATTTGGCTATATTTACCTCTTGGACAAGATCCTGTGCTCCACTTAGGACTCAACCAAGAATTAACTTTTCCTTTGTGGATTCCAGGACTAGCTACTCCAAGAAGCAGTCATTAATAGTGTCTAGATTGGGATTCATCAAAACTGAAATTTTCTGTGGGAAATGGTCAATTTTAACAAATCTGTCAAGGGAAAGGTTTCTCCTGAGAGAATTTCTTGTGAGTTAGATTCCAATCTAAAATCAGTCAGAGAAGCAGCCAGAAACCAGGACTCCCATATCCTTGCTATAGGCTATTTGGGGATGGGGCTTTCAGTCTCTCCTATTGGTCCTATTCCAGTTTGTATAAATAATCAAATATCTATTAGCATTAAGGATTTGAGCCTGAGTACACACACACGTCTTGTAATTCGAGCCATAGCCTGTGTGAGTACTCCCTTACTGAGACACTGGCTATTCTGAGGAAAATGGGTATTTTTCCCTTGTGCTTT